GTCAAAAATTGCAGAATTATTCAATGAAGACTGAATTGCTATTGAATGGCTCTGTGTGGGTAGATTGTAAAGCACCCATTTGTGTTTTATCTAGCACTTTCTAGTGTTTTTGTATTCCCTTGCTGCTACCCACTAAACTAAAATTTCAGTGACTGACTCTTAATTTCTCAAGTAAAATTATATAGAAATTTGACTTTGAATAACTATTTATACTGTCTCAAGTGTTTGCTCAGAATTTTTCTATCATTTGGTATCTAGCCTTGCAGACAATCATTTAAAATACGATTTCCTTTTCCATTTTGAGTTAGCACTGTCTATCAGCTTTTGACTGCAAGTAAGTGATGTATAGCAGCAATTCAAAGGATAATGAAAATGTTGTTTGTATAAATCACCTGAAGATGTGATCTAATCAGATCTCTGGTCTTAACTTAAAACGACTATTTTGCCCTTGTCATCTTTGAAATGTCACTTGCTCTCCACAGAGGTGACCATGATGGTGTTTACATCTTTTTCCTTACATAGATTCTGCAGTTTTCTTCTTACCTGTTCGTTTCCACCCCACCCCACTGCACCCATCTTCAGGAATGCCTTAGAGGGAGTATCTTTGGGATTTCTATGGGGGTTTCATGCTTGTCTCCTAGATGCTGTTTTCTTTTTTCACCTCACTAGATCTCTCTTTAGTCTCACCTAAAAATCAAAATTGAACTCTCCAGAGTTCATGAGAAACCAGCCTTACCTGCTTTTGCTGCAGCAAACACTGGTCTGTGCTGGTTTCATCTATGAGGTGAGATTTTTCACTTGGATCTGTCTGGCTTGGTGGAAGTCATGTCTGAATTCCTGAAGTTCCTAATGTTATTTTTGTTGTGCCAGTATCTTTATGGAATCCTGGTACATACAAATGCGTACAGATCTGTTAGTTATGCAGCAGCAATTTGTCTTGCTAGCTTTAATTGAAATGACTCTACACCCCAGACAAGCTGAAAGGTGGATGTTTGGTTTGATTCCAGAGAAACAGAAGGTTGAGCTCTTGACTAGTTAGTTAGAAACAGAGTTGCAGAAGAGGACAACTAAGACAATGGAGGTAATTTTTGGAGAATATTTTTGTAGTTGTCACATGAGCTTCTTAGTGTATATTTCAGGCATGAAGAAGAAGGCTTAAGAATGAGCAAATGGCAGCAGCCCATATTGTGGATGCTTTTTTCTTAGGGACTTCAAAATGACTTGGGGGGCAGATGAGCCCCTTTTCCTGTCCTCATCAGGCCAATCAAGGAAACAATATTATGACCTCTCTCCCCCTCACCCCCCCATTGCTCCTGATGTCCCTCTGCTTCTCCTGATTTCAGTTTTCATGTGGTTTATTTAAATATTCCATTTAATGCAAATATACTAAGTGGTTCCTGTATAGTCAAGGAATTAGCAGTGTTCTTGTACTCCTTTGACATTTTAACTATTGCTTTTCTAACTTTCACTGCCATTCCTGTTGGTCCCCTTTTTAAGACCTTTAGAATTTTAGAAATGATAGATCAAAGAAATGTTCTTACTGCATTCTGTAAAAGTTACACATCTTGGGGTTGCTTTAGCTTTTCATGAACAGAAAACATAATTTATTAATGTAGATAGCAGAGTTTGTATCCAAGCACTTAATCCAAAGTACTGGTTTGTAACATTTGTGTGCTTTAGAGATTCACTGTTTTCAAATAGTTAAATCTCTTTTCACTTTTCAAACTAAAATCCTTGTGTCTCCTTTACACATCCCATTGTGAATTTCTAGCCATCAATTTAAATTCTACTTGGTAAAAATGGGCCTATTAATTTTCTCCTGCTGTTGTCTTTGTCATTCATTTCAGATGAGGAGGATGACTGTACCATCTGGCACATAAACTTCACTTTGGGCCTTTCTCTAAATGTTTGTGTTTGATGTATGTCCAAATCTTGTAGATTCTTTCTTTGAGACCTTTGTTAGATATGGCCTATTACAACCATTACTGGAGTTAAAATGTTCTTATTTTGCATCTTAATTTCAGTAATTCCTTTTTCTTGGCCAATGCAATGTTATCTAGTCATTTAGAATATTCGCAAGATCATTTTCCTGCTTTGTAAAATCAGACTGTATTTATGTATCTGATTCACTTTCTTTCTATCCAAAACTTATTTGTCTTTGCCTTCAAACTTTTCATGGCTTAAGTGCATTCTAGTATCATCCTTCATCCCAAGATATCTATTCCTGCTGTTAATTGGCTCATCAAACCAGCCCACATTGGCCAGCTGTTAGTTTTCTTTCTATAAAGTCCCTGCATTCCTTATAAACATCTTTTTAGAAAATCATTTTTCTCCTTCAAATCCCTCCTTAAAGTCTTTTGCTGTGATGTCTAAATAAAATCTGGACAAGACTTATCTCCTGGTGTGCTAAGAATTCTGCCTGTCGAGCTGACCAGTGTCAGATGTTTAAAACAAAAAGGACTGGAGGGCAACTATTCACTGTATTTTAGCTGATCTTCAGTAACTGTCTATGATTGTGCGCTTAGCCTGTGGCAATGCAAAGTAATTTGAGTTAGCATAGTCGTCTTTCACTGACTGCAAACTGCAACTTTTTATAGTTAAATATTTATTAACACTTGAAACCCTTTTCTTGTACTAAAACTGTGCCCCCTTTCATTGAGAGCTAATGTAACATGAATTGCCTAGCATTTACTGTGGGCTGAGGGTGTGCATATGGACAGTTACCTGGCAGTTATCTAGCACAACAGTAACTGTACAGTTCACAGCAGACTGCCCATAATTCAGAAGGTACTAGGTGAAATACTTGTAAGTGGGGAGAGGAACGGAGAAGTACACAAAATTCAGAAACATAATTTCACCTTGATTTTCACTTCGATTCTGTTAGATTCTAGGATCTTGTGTGCTTTTAAGTTCTCTACTGTAGTAGGGTATATGCGCCACTGACCATATATTATTCTTGATGTTTCTTCAGATAGAAAATAGGAGGCATTTGAGGATATGATTTCCAATATGACAGTAGCATTTTCTTCCTGAAAATTCCTCAACCTTTTAGCATGCTGTTGTGTCCTTCCACTCCCTCTT